AATGTAAACAAATTCAAGAGTAACCTTGCTAATTGTTTTCTAAAATTGTTCACCTAGATGGCAGTCCCTAGTAGAATGAAGTTTTTGTGTTTGTGAAAATTTTTACTAGGTTTTGTAATACCTATGACAAGTTCTCCTTAGATCCAAAGCCAATTAACATCGGGAGATGCATATTTGCTTTGAAAATAGGGGGAGTGTTTATTACCTCTGAACTATAGGAATGTTTATAAAGGAATTATATGGGTTTGAATTTTAAATTGAACATGAGGCAGAAATATGTTTATGTTCTACAGGTTATATTCTCACCAAAGTAGTAATTCTCTTTTATCTGGCTAGGGGGAAAAGATTTGTGAAAGAGCTTTTCTATAGTTTACCACTGGTCACTGCATGAGATCTTATGAGATCTACCACTGCAGAAAGAGCTTTTAATTAACTATCGGAGATGTTCAAAAAGCTGTACTAAATTAAAAGTCAGAGATGAGGTCTCAGCCCTTATCACATGTTTGAGGAAAATGACCAGCTCAGTGACAAAGCCCAGCCTCTTGCTAGTAACAGTCTACTCTAGAAGGATTTAACTCTTTGTCATTAAAAGTATTTTGCACACGGAAATTCTGTTGCAATGCTCCAGTGAAACAGGTTGGATGAATGTAGATTTGCCTCTCCAGTAACCCCATTGCAGAGCTTCGTAAATATTCACAGTAATGTGTGATGCAGCTCCCAGAGCAACCATCTGCCTCTTAAGAACCTTTTAACGTTATTTCTTAAAGTAGCTGTGAAAATGGTTACAAACTTGTGTTACAAATAATCTTTTTAAGATAACATAGTTCTCTCCATATGCAAAAAAAGACATGGACCATTTGAAAGTCAACGCTCTTTCACTGGCTATTCCGTGTTATGAACAAGCACTTTGCTTCCAATGCTGAGTTCTTTTAACTCTCCGACCCTTGGTTTTTAGACAGAGAAAAGGCAGAAGACATCAGAGGTCACATAGACTACTGTGTTGCCAGTGGGGTTTTGTGCAGTGATGTCATACATCTTATAGTCAGTGACAACACTGCAGGGTTTTTGGAGGGAGAGAAGGGGATTGCAGAAGTGAAGGGGGAAGTGCAGCCTCACTGGGCTTCATGGGCGGCACTTCTTTCTAGAAACAGAAAGGGGTGATCACAGCAAGTGAGAGGTTTAGTCATCACCGGGTGACCAAGGAGATTGTTTTCCTGTGGGTGTATCAGAGGTACCATCTGCAGATCTTAAGGAAGTGGTCTTGGAGAAAGGAGGCTAATGCTGATTTTGAGGATTAAATTTTTAGGCTGTGTGGTTGCATGTCAAGCAAGGCCAAGACAAAGGGACCTGTTACCCAAACTATCCCAATGAAAACAGGATGGGTAGCCTGCCTATTAGATCCCAGGCACTGTGGGGACCAGAATAACCACAGTGACTAATTGTGATGGGAGGCACTCATGAAACACACATTCCCATCAAAATATGGCTTTTTATTTTAGAGGCTCCACAAGCATAGCGTAGTAGAATTGTTAGGTTGAAAAAGACCCTTAAGATCATCAAGTCCAACTGTTAACTCATCGCTTCCAAGTCCACCACTAAACAATATCTTCAAGTGTCATTTCTGCACATCTTTTTAATACTTCCAGGGATAGTGACTCAACCACTTCCCGGGGCATAACAACACCTTCTGTAAAGTTCTTCTTCTTAATATCGAATCTAAGCCTCCCCTGGTGCAACTTGAAGCCATTTCATCTTGTCCTATGGCTTGTTATCTGGGAGAAGAGGCTGACACCCACTTGGCTACCATTTCCTTTTCAGGTCGCTGGAGAGAGCAATAAGGTCTCCCCTCAAGTCTCATTTTTTCTAGGCTAAAAAACACCGGTTCTCTCTGATGTTCTTCATAAGACTTGCTACCTTTCAGGATACACCCCTAAATCAGCAACAAGGCATCCATATGATCACATAATGAGTGACCATATGATCATATGATCACATGATCATATGTGCTTAAATAACTCAAAACTCATTAAGCTTCAGAAAAGCACTGATTTTGAGCACTCCTGATGTTTTACTTGACAGCGAATACTTCTCCCAACCTGACCATTCCAGCTAGTCTCCTGACCCTTTGTCACAACAGCACAGTCAGTAGCATGGCTGGAGAGTTGCACTTTGCTGCTTGATGGAGGAGTCCTACAACAAACAATTTTGTACCATGCGTAGAAAGTTAAATTATGAGGCAAACAGTACACCAAGAATTTGCTGCCACTAGATGGCAAAAAACACATGTGGAAAGCAACAACACATTTCTGAGAGCACAGCTAATGTTCTCTTCACTCAGGGGAGTTTATTCCTTTCTCGAGCAGCACAAGCAGGAAGACAACAGGGCAGCACAGAAGCCCTGTCCAAGTATGTACTTTGCCTTTGGAAAAGCTGCACTAAGTACCAACTATAAACTAACAATGTTTGTATGAAATAAAGGTCTTTCTGTGTGAAATCCCAGTGTGGTGTATGTCCCGACAATGACAACATCTTGCCTCCATTAAGGCAAAAAGTGCCACTTTCCAAGGAGAGGAGGGGAGAAAAAAACTCCTCACACACACACCCCCAGCCCCAGAGAGAGCTATTAGGCTGGAATGTAGTTCTGCCAGCCAGCTCCTTTGTGTAGGCAATCACCCAAAGCAGAAAACTGTCCTCCCCATTCAACATTCCTCCCCCACATACAGCAGGGGAAAGAAAATTCCCCTTTGGTTTTTTAGAACAAGTAAACCCATGACACTGGGGAACAAATCCCCCAGCATATTTCCCCCATCTCTACACTGTCATCTCCTTTGAACACTAGGCTGGGCAGTGATTCTTACTGTCATTGGATCTCTGTGAACACAAACGGAGCTGTCCTTGGGGGCTGAATGACTGCAAGGGTCATAAGTTAACATAGCATTGAGGACTTGTGCTACACATCCCAGCAGCTGTGCCACAAGGAACTATGTTACTGGTAAGTTTCATTTAATCTGGCGCAGTGCTACAGACAGAGCCCGTTCATCCTGGTTTTCAACCTGCTAATTTTCTTCACATCAAAACCCCCTTTCCATACTTGTTGGGTTTAACAGCCTTTGCAACACCTTGCAAAGCAAAATGACACAAAAGAGCTGGTTAATATTCAAGGATCACTTCCATCAAGCTCAAGAGAGTTTCATCCTAAAAAGCAGGAAGTCAGGCAAAAATTCCAGGAGGCCTGCATGGATGGCTTGATAAGGAGCTTCTTGTTCAAACACAAAAAGGAAACTTAGAGAGAGTGGACGCAAAGAAAGATAACAGAAATGTTGTCTGGGCATGCAGGGATGAAGCTGGTAAAGCTAAAGCCCAAATGGAACTGAATCAGGCCAGTGGTGTCAGAGACAACAAGAAGGACTTCTTTAAGCATGTAGGTGACAAAAGGAAAACCAGGGAAAATGTGGGCCCATCACTCACCAAGATGGGGAAGCTTGTTACACAGGACAGGAAAAAAGCAGAAATACTGAATGTCTTCTTTGCCTACGTCTTTCCTAGCTTTTCCCAACCTTCAGGGATCAGGACAACTGACTCTAGGAAACCCTATTCCAAAAGAGGACTTGGACTAGAGCACCTTAGTCTTTCCGTGATTATGTGCAGAGGGTGAGCAGTAGCCACCAGTAAAGCAGGGCCATACCCACAGTGCGGCATGTGCAAAAGCATGCAAAGCATAGTGCGGCTCCTCAGCAAGAAGCAATAGCAGTCGCCAACAAGACTCTAGTATGTGTCCTCCTTTTCTTCTGTTCCCCCTGCCAGCTTTGCTTCTCCCATTCTCCGATCACAAGGCTGTACCCTCTTCTTCCCTCTGCTTGCCTCTGGGACAGGTGGGGACCGGTCCAACTTTGGCAGAAAGGGCGTGGTTGCCAGAACTGTCACGACATTTTGGAACCGCTGCATTTGGTCACAGAATTGGAGCTCTTTGGACCTAGGTGGGAGGGATGAGCAGAGTCATATTTTTGAAGGCTTATTAAGGCTTTCTTCCTGGGCTGGGAGTTAAGATTTCTCTCTCTGCCCTTGATCTGAGTGCAAATCAGTCTGGCAGATATCTTCAAGGCTGAAAGAGAAGCCAGGCCTGAAGGCCGAGCCAGAGCTCTCCTCTGCTCCCTTCAGCTCTGCTCACAGCTGCATCCTCAGCCTGTCCCAGAGGCCAGACAAACGTGTCCCCTTCCTCCGTGAAGGCTTGAAGCACAGTCGTGTTAAGATCATGGCCTACAGGTGAGCTATTGCTACTAATCAGTTGCCAGACTCTTCCAGTGCTTTAGAGCCATCCTCTTTGCGTTCCGGGCAGAAGATAATAGTGGGTGAGCTTCTGGTAGCCATAAAACACAGGCAAATCCCTGATCCTGTGGGAAGTGGACCGGTTTGTAGCCTGCAAAGAAAAAGGGAAATTTCTTCAGCCAGCTTGCGGTGCATTGTAGCGTCTCTCCCCTGAGAAAGCTGGTGCAGAACCTCTGGGCCTTCACTTTGTGTTGTCATTGGGACAAACTGGGACGAGACGTGTTTGAAAGCTTCTTCCTGCCTGCTGTGTGCTGCCCATTGGCTGCTGGAGCAGCAGAGCAGAAATTCACTGTTGGCATCTGGCAAAGTAGCAGGTGACAGCAGTTACGAGGGGGTGGGGGGCTGAGGGGTCTGCTCTTCAAGAGGGACAAGACAAAGGAGTTGGGGAATTGTCCTGGTGTGGTATATTAATATAATATAAAAGACACGACCCGGCAGCTAGTTGGCAAGCAGTCAAATCTGTTTATTTAAAAGAAAAATGTCTCCTTATAAACCCTTTGGAGGACATGTGACCCCCTGACCAATGACAGCACAACACACACTGCTCATGTGCCCCAATATGCTGTCCAGGGACTTCAGTTCCCAGAATGCTTCCCTCCCTATTCTCGGGACACGTCCCTACATCCTGGAATTCTGGCATGGCGGGCTTGGAGCACTCAGTGGGCATTTCTTGAGAGCTGTGGTGGCCCCCGCCTGCTCGGGCTGGGATCCCACTTCATCCTGAGCCTCATTTCATGGAAGCGTGTCCAGAGGCAGCCCGGCCACAGGCTGAAGCAAAAACCCAGAGCGGGTGATTCGGGAGCTGCTCCAGTGCCTACCACAGCCTCCGACCCAGTGGGAGCAGCCCGGGCCCTGCCCCGGGGTGCCCTGAGGCGGGGCAGTGCCCACTCCCGCCAGCCGCCCTCACAAGGCCCAGGCCGCCTCCTTCCCACAAGGCCCAGCAGGGCCGCCCTCACTCCTGCCCCGCCCTGCCATGTCCCGCCCGGCCTCACCCTGCACCGTGGCCTCTGCCACACCCCACGGTGACGTGCTGAGTGTTCCACCTGCCATTGTGACGCCACAGGCGCCAGTCGAGCACAGCTTTGTTGGTGCCCGGAGCCGGCGCTCAGAGCTTCTGTAGCCTCTCGAGGAGCAGTAGCACATCCCGCTGTGGGAGCATTTCGCGCCTGTATCGCCGTCTTGGTAGCTGCAGGCCACGAACGCTGCACAGGGCAACCTCGTCTGCCTTGTGCTTTATACCCTGTGCCCATCCTTCTTCTCATCCTCGTCCCCTTTGTCACCCTCACCCTTAACCTCACCCTCGTCCCATTCGTCATCCCTACTTGGCGCCCGGCAGCCCCTCCGCAAGGGGGCTTCTTGCACTTCCTGCTGCTGGTAGCTCCAAGCAGGGCCATGCCGTGGCTTCTCAGCAAGAAGCGACGGCAGTCACCATCCAGCACCACCAGTGGGCAGCCCTGGGCTGCCACCAGCTCCACCAGCGCCTCCGAGCTCAGGGAGAAGGGGCTGGGCAGGCTGCACCGCGCGGCCGCCCGCGGCGACCTGGCCTGGCTGAGGCGCTGGCGCTGGTATGTGAAGGTAGTCGGCATCGACAGGCGAGACCAGGAGATGCGGTGAGTTCTATGGGATGCTGATGGCACACCTTGGCTGCTCCCGAGCCAAGCTGCAGTAGTCCTCGGCAGCCCTCTGTTAAGGACAAGGCTTGAAAAGTGAGATTTGCCCTGTCAGCTGGGAGAGTGAACTCTTGAGCTTTTCACTGCTTGTAGCTGCCGGCTGGGCTCCAGCGCTCTTGGAAACGCGTGTTGCCGACCTGCCCCTTTGCCGTAGTCTCTCTGCAGGGCTGTTCTGCAGCTGCTCAGCCCTCACCTCTTCTCTTCTGCCCTCTGGCTAATCAGCACAGGATTGCAGCAGCAGCAGCAGAGAGCAGCAAGAGGGAGGAGCAGAGTCCGGGCAGGGTCCCCAGGGTGCTGGGTAGAGACACGGCTTTGGCTCATCCTTTGTCTGTCTAGGTTAAGAGCGTACGTTTAATTTTTAGGACACCTCTGCATCTCGCTTCGGCAAACGGCCATGCAGATGTCCTTAGATATCTGCTAAGAAAGAACAGCCAGCCGAATCTCGCTGACAACTTGAAGAGAACGGCACTGATGAAGGTGTGTGGAATGCCTTATGATCTTGTAGGTGGGCATTAGTGATGGTGTGTTAAAGGGGAGGTGTCTGGCAGGATTCCTTGCATCGCTGGGCCGTAGAAACATGCATATTGCAATCGGGGTGGCATAGGCCTCTGTTAGCTAGTCTTTGAAGATGGTCTTCTATCCTAGCGTTCAGGAGCTGACAAAGTTGTGACAGAGGGGGATGTAAAAGTTGGAAGTCTTTCCCTTTTCGTGTGTTGTTCCCAGGCAGTACAGCAGGAGCAGGAAGAATGTGTTGCTATTCTGCTGGAACACGGTGCCGACCCGAATCTGGCAGACGCTGGCGGCAACACTGCCCTTCACCTGGCTGTCCTATCTAAAAATACAGCTGTAGCAGGGCTGTTACTCGAGCATAATGCCAATAGTGATGCTCAGAACCAGGTAACCTTGGCACGTGGGTAAAGCTGCTCTTTCAAACAGCTGCAGAGCTTGTCTGTGTCTTTCTAATGGCGATTATTTGTCCTTTTAGATGGGATTTACTCCCTTAAAACTTGCAGCCCTCCTACAGCATGAGGAGATCCTGGAGTGCCTTCTGAAAAAAGCAGCTGACAGGCATGCTCAAGCCCAAAGTGAAAGGTAAGGGGTTTGTCAAAACAGCACACGGGTCTTCTCGGTAGCCTGCAACCAAGACCGAGACGAGGGGCGCGGCAATGAGCTTGGAAAAAGAAGGAGGAGCCACGTGGAAGCAGTTCCCTGTGTGACTGGTAAATGCAGGTCTGCACTTGGCTGCTCTCGTACCTTAGGGGCTCTCGTACTTTGCCCGCTGAGGTCTGCAAGAAGGCGTTGTCTGTGGTGCCCTCTCCCCACAGACACCCAGAGCCATCGGGAAACTTGCCAGTAGCTCAGCAGCATGGCTGCTCTGCAGGCAAGGGAGCTTTAAGCCAAGGCACAGTTGGTGCGTTAAGTGCTCTGAAGGGAAGCGTTGGGAGAAAGAGAAGCAAGAGTGTCCGAGGGAACACGAGGGGCTCCAACTGCACATAAGGAGAAAACTTCCTGCCACGTAGATGGTCAGGCGGTCGAACGGCTTGCCCCGGGAGTTTGTGCAGCCGCATCTGTGGGGACTTTGAAGAGCAGTGCAAGGAGCCCTGAACAGCATGGCTTGACCTTGTAGTTGAGGCTGCTTTAGGGAGGCCCCTTCTAAGATAAATTCTCCAATGCTTCCATGTACTTGGCTTCGCTTTCACGGAGCTTGTAGGAAAGGGGGGAAGAGCTCTTTTGGGAACAAGCAGGGGAAAAATGATGCGGGATCAGACATGTTTCACATTAAATCTTGGATGCTTTAGGACTGCTTTTGTGGTTACTGGAACCCATGAGGCTCACCTGGAGGAAGATAATCTGCGCTTGCAGGAGGAGTTGGACAGGGCTGACACGGAGGTATGGAAAGCCCGTCCCTACAGGGATAAACCTGGCGGTGCCTGTTGCTTCCTATACATCATGAAAACAGACAAAACAGTATTCTGGGAGCCAGTATGACAGAGACCTAAGGAAGTGGCAGTTACATCGGGCTTTGATCTGCCTCTGTCCCTCTGGCCCCCTGCCCCACATCCCGCCATGCTGAGGCAGAGCTGCCTCTCCTTAGGGTTTCACCCGTGACCGGCCAGGGGGGCTGGGGTTCCTCTCTCTCTGCTACATTCAAGATTTTCCTGGTCTAAGAAGACTCCCCACACACCCCTGGCATGATTCTCGACTCCAGGGCAGGTCTGTGGAGCAGTTCATCTGCCTGCCTTTGCTGAAATGGTGGTCATTAGCTTGTCAGTGATGCCATCCTTCCTGGCCCCACCACACTGAAGCAGAGCCGCCTCTCCTCAGGCATCCACTGCTTCCTGCTTAGGGGCTGCTGGGCACCTCTCTCTGTGCTACAGTCAGGGTCATTCCCACTTAACAAAACTCCCCATGCTCCCCTCATGCAACCCTGGGCTCCAGAGCACATGTGCCAGAGCACTTCACCTCTGACACTTGTGAGATGCCTTCCTTTAGGAAGATGAATTATTTCACTCATCTTTTCCTGGAGCAGCAAGCAAGGGAATACAAGAAGCGTCACAGGTCACAAAAATGGTCCGAGGGGCAGTGTCAGTGCTTAGAACTGTGCTGTAGGAAAGCAGTGGAGGGGTGGGAGAGGCTGCTGTAAAAGAGGACAAAGGAATAGAGCTTGTGTTCATTGGGTAGTAGAAGTGAAGCTTTGAAGGTACTTGAATTGATTCCAGTTCTTTGAGCAGAGGGTATGCACACATACATGCAGCACCTGAGTTCTTCAGCAGCAGCTGGCTCCTCTATGTAAAAGCTCACCTGACAACTGTGGATTCTTACCGTGATTTTACAGCTGCGGGAGGAGGAAGAAAAGCATCTTCAGTCTGAGCATTGTGTTCGTGACTTGAAGACTGCCTTGGATGATGAAGAAAGAGAAGCAATAACTTCTTCCCCGAAACTGCAGGACCTCTTGTTGCCATCTTCCAAGACTAATACCACTCTAAAACAACTGGAAGAACACGTGCAACAGTAAGAGAGTAACCCAGTGAAGCGAGGTGTCTGTCGCTTTGGGGGATTGGGTGGAAACAACGGGACAGTCAGTTGGATTTTGAAGGACACTTCTGCTGTGGATTCTGTTACTTAGCACAGTTTGTCTGGAACTGGATTTTCTGGTAATAAGACCCGTATTTGTTTTTAAGCCTTGAAATTGAAAACACCAGATTGGAAGCCACTGTCCAGCAACAAAGCAATAGGATTGAAGTCCTTCAGAGAGACCTGCAAGCCTCTGCCTCAGTAAGCTGGTCATAAATTTCCCTTTTTGTGACTCTTGAGCCTAGTTGCCTATTTCTGTGGGGAAACTGTAAGATGAAGTTTTCCTGGAGAGCCTAGGGGAGCTCAGTTTCTGCCTTCTCCTCAGTAGAGGCTGCTCAGAGAGCAGCCTGGTCCTTTCCCCAGCTGCTACAAAAGCCCTGAGGGTATTTGCTGTGCTGGACACTAGAGCAATTCTTAGATTATAAATTATGAGTTTCACCATGAGCTCCAAGGGACCCAGAAGTATTGCTCCCAGAAGTGTCTCACAAATTTTTAAGTAGTTGTGAAGTTTCTTCTTTCTGTCAGGGAATCTTTCAAGTGTTTTCTATGCTCGTTTCCAGCAGATGATAAATGCAGTTATGATGGCCACCCTCTTTAGAGGTTTTCCCAGAATTCACTGCCTTTAGATCACGCTGAGTTTCCTTTTCTTTTTTTTTTTCTGTGTACAGGTTGGTGAACTTTCCCAGCAGCTGGACATGGAGCCTAAAACAGGCATGCAGCTAGAGGCCCAAAACCAGACTTTGCGAGAAGAGCTGTCCACTCTGCGTGGGAATTGTGAAAAACTGGAGAAGAGCAAATGCCAGCTGCAAGAAGAAGTGACAAAAGTCCATCATCATTTGGAGACTTTCGTGCTGGATGGCAGCCAAACAGCACAATGTAAAAGAGAGGTGGAAGAACGAGCTGACCAGGAAATAAGTCAAAAGCTACAAGACGTCAGTCTCGTTCTGCAAGTAAGTGAATTTCTCACCAGTGTCCACAGGCACTACGTAAAACCTCTGTTGTGGCCATCGGTTTGGGTATTTTTCTTTTGCTCCTGTATTCTGTGTGTTAGCTTCTGCCTTTCCTGAAGGCAGTGGGAGAAGGCAATATGGTTGGGCAGGAGGGCTGTCACGGGTGTGTGATGTGCCGGCAGGTCCCTGAATCAAAAGCCTGCCCAAGGCAGATTCCCACTTTGCAGTGCTTGGGGGTATCTCTGTCCGCTGGCCTGGTTCTCGCTGCTCATCCTTCAATGGGTTTTGCAACTGCCAGCTGTCATGGCCAGACCTACAGGTGCTGCTTTGTCCTTGTAGGGGGGGAAAGTGCTCAGAAAAGGAGTCACTGAAATTCCAGGGGTGGGGGTGAGGGGGTGGAGGTGGGGGATGCTCTTATTGTCTTTGAGGAATCCTTTTCGATATACCCTGCCCTACAGATACAGTGTCTCTTCATTAGGAGCTTTGAATAAGTGTGCTGATTTGGGCTTCTTTCCCAATGAAAAGAATTATTTGCCGTGGTAGCTCCTGGGTTCTGCCTTGGTTGCTGCTGGTAGTGAGGAGGCACAGCTGCCTCTCTGAGTAAGGCTGGGCCCTTGAAACAGGATGCGTGCAATTTTCTGCTGGGCAGAGCTCTCTTTTTCTTGTGGTGGTTGAAGGTGCACTGTCTCCTTCAGGCACAGGCAGCCTCCCAGGCTCCATTAGGACAAAACGGAGACAGTCATTGCGATTCAGTGAGAATCCAGTTAGAAGAAAGAATTAGAGATCTCAAAAGTGAACTGGACAGGGTAAAAAAAACCCAACAAGAGAGTGCTTCTCGTAAAGAAGCAATGCGAGGAGAAATGGAAATGTACAAAGACCTGTATCTGGAGGAATTGAAAACTAGAAGATGCCTAGACAAGAAAGTGGAAAGGTAAGTCCATGCTTTTTTGGAGTGGTAATAAGAGACTCCTTTTTCTTCATGCATTTTCCTTCTAAATGCATTGTCTACATCTCACCAGCATTATTGCCCTACATTGGCCAACAGGGTCTGGTGTAGTTGCCAAGACACTCTCCTTGATATTTGAAAAGTCGTGGCAGTCGGGTGAAGTCCCAGGTGATGGGAAAAAGGGAAACCCATTGTACCCATCTTTGAAATGGGTAGGAAGGAGGGCCCTGGTAACTGCCAACCTGTCTGCCTCCCCTCTGTGCCTGGGAAGGTCATGGAAAAGATCCTTCTAGAAGCTATGTCAAGGCACATGGATGACAGGGAGGTGATCTGAAGCACCAGCACAGGACTGATGTCCTGAGGGACGTTGGTGAGACCCCACCTGGAGTGCTGCATCCAGCTCTGGGGTCCTCAGCAAAGCAAGGACCTCCACCTGTTGGAGTGAGTCCAGAGGAGGCCACCAAGGTGGTTAGAAAGATGGAGCACCTCTCCTATGAGGAAAGGCTGGGGCAATTGCAATACTTCAGCCTGGAAAAGAGAAGGCTTTGGGCTGACCTAATTGTGGCCTTTCAGTACTTGAAGGGAACCTACCACAAGGATGAAAAGAGTGCATTTAAAAGAGCATGTAGTGAGAGGACAAGGGGGGGGGAATGTCTTCAAACGGAAAGACAGTAGGTTTAGGTTTGATACTAGGAAGAAATTGGTTGCTGTGAGGGTGGTGAGGAACTGCAACAGGTTGCCCAGAGAAGCTGTGGATGCCCCATCCCTGGAAGTGTTCAAGGCCAGGTTGGATGGAGCTCTGAACAACCTGGTCTCATGGAAGGTGTCCCAGCCCACAGCAGGAGGCTTGGAACGAGATGATCTTTAAGGTCCCTGCCAAGCCAAGCCATTCTATGCTTCTCTGATGTCTGTGCTGCTTATGTGAGACTGTGGGGAAAAGGCTGGTTCTTCCTGTGTTTCATGGTTTTCTTAACTAATTTGCTGTGCAGGTTGGAAAAGCTTCTGAGGGTAGATAGGAGGAAACTCAGGGCTAATGAAGAGAAAGAAACCCAGTCCCAGCTGGAAGAAATGAAGAACAGATATTCTGAAAAGGTCAAGGAAGTGGATAGATTACGAACAGAGGTGAGCTGCGCTTTGGGTGGGGTTTTTTGGTTGTGATGTTACTTCTTCTGAAACCTGGGAGATGCTTTCCGTATATTTCTTGTCATGTTGATGATTTTTTTTTCCTTGGCTGCATTTTGGATGTGATGGGCTTTTCTTAATGCTCCTTCTGCTGTTACAGTAGTAGATGACTATAATACGGAGGTAGTTATCACTATGGGTAAAGATGCAAATGTAAGGGCAAAGCAGTAGGTGTAAGGGCTCATGGAGGCCAGGCTGTCTTGCAGAGGAAGGGCAAGCCAAGAGTGGCAGCCAGCCTGGCAGGGTGCATGACCTCACCGGCCAGGGAGCCCTCCCACAGGCCCTCAGCAAGAAGAGCAGAACAGGTCTGCTGACAGTAAGCGGGGTCAGCCAAGAGTGCAGATCCCCTGGCTGGGCCTTAGGGATGGGCAGGTCTGCCATCCTTGCAGGACATCACGTCCATGGGCTGAGAGCAGTGGGGCCCAGCTCAGGCCTGGCTGCAGCTTGAGGGAGGCTGTGACAGCGTCATCTGGGTCTGACAGATGAATTCCTGCCCTGGAAGAGAGGGGAGGAACACCGCTGTCACTCGCAGGGCACAATCAGCCCCTGAGCCCTGTCTCAGGCGTGAGCTGAGCAGGAGGCGCTTGACGTTTTGCTTTTCTCAACAGTGTTGTTGCTGCCCAGGGCACAATGAGGACAGGTGCCTCCCAGGGGAAAATCTGTAACTGATTGCTCACGGGTAGCTCTTTCAGCCCATCTTGTCACAGGGACTCAGAAGGACTGTTCCCAGCAGTGCTTTTGAGGCTGCTCTGCCTGTGCAGTAGTGGCATGTAACCTTTTATTTCCTTCTCCGCTCCTTACTCAGATTCGTTGCTAAAGTGGCCATCTTTCAGAGCTACACTTGGGTTTGGAAGGCATCACTGTAGAATCACTTACTGCCTTTGCAGTGATTCCTTTTGAGTCCAGAAGCTTGTAGCATTTTTGCATGAGGAACTCCAAAAGGATGGGAACCTGAGGAATGCTGAGACAAATGAGGTGAAAGCTCTTCTGGCTGGAAAAGAAGAGCCTGGTTGCACTTTGTTTCTAGTCCCGAGCCAGCAGATGATGAATATAGTCTCCCTGGCCACCCCCTTTTGGGGTTTCCACAGAATTCACTGCCTTTACATCACGCTGACTTCCTGTTTTCTTCTTTCTGTCTGCAGGTTGCTGAACTTTCCCAGCAGCTGGACAGGGAAAGTAAAAAGTGCACGCAGCTGGAAGCCAAAAATCAGGATTTGCAAGAAGAGCTGTCTATCCTGCGTGGGAAGTGCAAAAACCTGGAGACGGACAAATGCCAGCTGCAAGAAGAGCTGGCAAAAGTCCAGCACCATTTGGAGACTAACATGGTGGATCGCACCCAACTAGAACAATGTAAAAGAGAGGCGGAAGAACGAGCAGACCACGAAATAAGACAGAAACTCCAACAAGTCAATGAGTTTTTGCAAGTAAGTGAATTTCTCACCAGTGTCCACAGGCGCTACGTAAAACCTCTGTTGTGGCCATCGGTTTGGGTATTTTTCTTTTGCTCCTGTATTCTGTGTGTTAGCTTCTGCCTTTCCTGAAGGCAGTGGGAGAAGGCAATATGGTTGGGCAGGAGGGCTGTCACGGGTGTGTGATGTGCCGGCAGGTCCCTGAATCAAAAGCCTGCCCAAGGCAGATTCCCACTTTGCAGTGCTTGGGGGTATCTCTGTCCGCTGGCCTGGTTCTCGCTGCTCATCCTTCAATGGGTTTTGCAACTGCCAGCTGTCATGGCCAGACCTACAGGTGCTGCTTTGTCCTTGTAGGGGGGAAAGTGCTCAGAAAAGGAGTCACTGAAGTTGTGGAGGTGGGAGATCCTCCTGTTGTCTTTGAGGAATCCTTTTCCATATGCCCTGTCCTACAGAGAGAGTGTCCTTTCATTAGTAGCTTTGTATAATAGTAGCTCCAGGGTTCTGCTTTCATTGCTGCTGGTAGTGAGGAGGCACAGCTGCCTCTCTGAGTAAAGCCTTGAAATTGGGTACATGCAATTTTCTGCTGGAGAGAGTTCTCTTTTGCTTGTGGTGATTGAAGGTGCACTGTCTCCTTCAGGCACAGGCAGCCTCCCAGGACAGATTAGAACAAATCAGAACCAGTCATTTAGACTCACTGAAAAAACAGCTAGAAGACAGAATTAGAGATCTTGAACGTGCACTGCGAAGGATAAAAAGCGAGCAACCAGAAAGACCTTTTCAAAAAGAATCCACCCAGGCAGAAGTGGAAATGTACAAAGAGCTCTATCTGGTGGAAGCAAAAACCAGAAAAAGCCTAGCCAAGAAACTGGAAAGGTAAGTCCATGCTCTTCTGGACTGGTAATAACAGACTCCTTTTTCCTCGTGCATTTTCCTTCTAAAATCCCTTTTTTACGTCTCGCCAGCATGATGTGTGAAAGCAGAACAGGGCATATTTGTGGGGAAAGTCCCTTAAGACCCTTCCCTTCATCAGACCTGTCTTCCTTTCTCTTTAAGAGTTCCAGCAGGAACACCACAGTAGCGCCATTATGGCATTATTGGTGTCTTTTTCGAGTTGATGTTGTTCTAGCAGGCAGTCTTTTTGCCAATCTCTAATCTCCTCATCCTGTGTGGGACAGAAAAGATGAATCTTGTGCCCTTTACTGTTTGAATAAGGAGAGAAGCCTCTCGGAGAACAGAGTTGGATTCTGTGCACCAAAAATAAGAACGCTCTTTCTTGGCTTCTGTTTTGGCAGCGGGTCTGAGGTTTGAGCTTTCCTTGAGAAGGCCAGGGTAGGCCAGCGTTCTTATGGAGGTGACACTTGCTGCTCCTTGCACTTAGTGTGATTTCGTAGAAACAGGCCCTCTGAACGAGCCCAGATCAAAGGATGTGCTTGTTTTGGACGCTCTTAATGCCCTTGGCTTTTAGAAGTCGAGTAGTAGTCAAGGACGTGGAGGGTAACTCTGCAAAAGCCTTACTGCCAAAGATGACTCTCTGTGTGCTTCTGAATGTTTCAGAGCTGATGAGAGACTTGCAGAGGCCGACATCAAGCTCTTTTTGGAGCGCCATAGAAGCAAATCTGCAGTCACAAGCAGCGCTGTCAGCGGACATCTGGCTGCAAGTCCACTTCTGGATCCAGCTGGCCTGGGATATCTTGGCAACCACTTGGGACTGAACAGAAGTCTGGGTTTCAGAACACCACCCAGACATCTGTGGTAAAGCCGAAGATTTTAGGACATCAGGTTTGTACAAATTTTCCAGAGCGGTCAAAGGCCAAAAAATATTGAAATCGAAGCAATGAGCTGTGTAACTATATTCTTTTTCAAGACAAACTGTGGTAAAGAGCACTGTGGGGCACGAACCCCCCATCTAAGTTCCACACTAAATTTACATGTATGGTATGTGTGACCTATTTCAAGTGGCTAATGTCACCATGAGTGCCAAATGCCAGCAGACATCTGTGAGACCCCATTTTCTTCATCATTGATCTTTGTTCTAGCAGTTTCTTCACTGGACCTTGCTTTAATATGTTACTATGGATAGGAGGCATTTGTTCCTGTAGTTCCTGCTACGTCTTACTACATGAAACAGCAGAACTACCTACTCCTTGGGAAGTCTTCACAGCCTTCTAATTGTGCAGCAATGCTGCAACCTCTGCAATAGCACTGGTCCAAGTATGCCCTGTAATCAGCAGTCAGTGGGATAGCGCATCCCTTCCAGAATGCAGAGCATTATACCAGGAGACGTGGAAACCACACACCAGTAGTTGTAATCAGTGGGACAGCCACGTAGCATGGGACTGAGGCATGGCCAAGCTTCTCTGTTGAGTTAGCGTGTTTAGTTGTTGGATGAATGTGAGAAGCATTTGTTCACTTTGAAGTCCATCTCAGTTCACTGGTCCCCTCACCTCCATTGGAAAGAACCCATTTCAACAAGGTGTCTACATACAGCACCTGGTTGAAGACAAAAACACCAAGGAGATGAAAAGGGGCCAAGCAGCGTAGGTAATGCGTAGCAGCGGCAGTTACAGACAGGAACTTTTCTGTACCGCTGTGAACGCGTTTTTGAGGGCAGAGGCGTGGACAGGCATTACGGAAAGAACTCGTGAGGTAATTAGTGCTGTACCATCTGCAGGGTTTATTCTGCAGGCAAGCACTAGAAAGGAAGCACACTTCAGGGACCCAATGCAAAAGGGAGAAAAGGAGAAGACCAGGAGGGGCAGGGAGCACGGAACAAGTGAGGGAAAGAAAGGACAGAGAGATGGCAGCAAGATGTTAAAAGAAGGAAAAGGCAAAGGAGGAAACCATTCCTGTTCGAGGAAAAAAGCTGCCCTACTTGAAAAGAAAAGAGTTGACAGCTGTGTCTTTTTTGAAAAAGAGCAGGGAAAACAGATAGTGAAGGGAAGGACAGTGGGAGTACCCAGTGCTTCCTAAAACTGAATTACAGCAACAGTCTTCAGCTCGCCCTTTCCATTGTGATTTTCCAGAAGAAAACTCTGGGCATCTCAAAGTTTTGTCAGTATTAAGACAGAAACCTTCACTGCTTTCCTAGCTTCCCTGAAGGATGTTACAGAAATTAAATATTTCTACAGGTTATTTCATGGCTCATTGTTTTATCCAGTTGCTAATTTATGCAGATGTGCAGTTCAAATCGCTATACAGGCTGCTTCAACGCTTTGCAACAACTGCTTCCTAGATCTACTTGTGGAAAACAGTTGAGTTGATTCCAAGAAAAGAATGCACTAGGTCTGAGGATGGTGATACTGTTCTCACTCAGCGTCCTGACTGCAACAGCACCCATACAGTTCCTTTTCAGGCCACGTCTGTCTCACAGCCTTGAGCGTACTCTCAAGGAAGTTGATGAACAACTACGTATGACATTTCCCCAGCCTTCAGTGACTGAGGTCTGGAGGGGTTTTGTTTCTTAGTTTGGGGGCTTGCTTCGATCCCAACATTTCTCCTTCCTATTGCATTTTTTTTGGTAGGACTTAGTCCCCTGAAGTTCTCTCTGACCTTGACTGCAACCTCTGGAGACTTTTAGTTTGTTGTCAACAGAGGAGCTGAGGATAGTTCACTCTCACTATACACAGTTTGTCTTCTCAGGATTTGCTTCAAACTCTACTACCATATCAAGTTCTAAAGTTTTCTTCCTCGAAGGGGTGTGTGCAAAACAATGGCTTAATCAACTGAAATCTTACCTCTTAACTCTGTAAATACTACCTCTTAACTGTGTATTTTCTGTATAATTCTAGGCACGACAGGAACGGGATGCAAAAATCGCTAGAGACCTTCAACGAGGTAATGTGTCATTATGTTAGGAGGGTTTTTAAGGAAAAAGGTGACTATTTCTAGCTCTTGACAGCTCTCGAGCCATTTTTATCAAGTTCCTCTGATAAGTATGTTTTTGGGGTTTTTTTTCTGCTAGCCTTCCAGTTGAGACTTGAATGTGAAAACTTCCTGCTTACCAAAATGTTGCGTACAATGTTATGCAGTTGCCTGGAAAAAGCCAAGCGCAAAGAAACCCTTGGCTTAAGCTGAAGTTGCCCTTCACTAGAGTTCATCTCAAGCACAAACAGCAAAGCAGCCAAGAGATAAGTATAAGCTTCAGCCATCACTTCCCCTCCCATGCACACCGATGGCATTCAGCACTAAACCGCACCATACCCATTCTTTGCGGTTGGTTCCTGATTTTGGCTACGATTCTATGATTCATGGCTTGTCTTGGTAGCTTAGGGGGTGCAGTCTTTTTTGGAATAAGCAAGAAGATCAGTGACAAAAAATAATCTGCCTTTAGGAAAAGAGTATTCAGTACTTTTTTGGCAAATATCCGTTCAGTGCTTGCCATACATAGCATAAAACATGCTGTAGAATTTGAGGCCAGGTGTCCCAAGAGGAAATGCACCTGTTCCATGGGAATTTGTTCCTCCAGAGTTACTGCTTTGTAGTGCCTGGTGCTGTGTAGTAGTAGTAGTGTGCCAATAAATCACTGGTTTGAACATAAAAGGAAAGCAGAGACTTCGGGTTGAAGAGGTCTACAGGGGGCTGTTTAGCACAGGAGTCATTTGTGGATTGCCTGAAGGTGTTCAGTGTGTAGCCCCCGGAATGTCTTCCACTTGCTTTAGAAATGCTGTTGTCGGATAAGCAATTGTGGAAAAAATGGGTTTCTTCCTTTGCACCTAGCCCTTCCATTGTTATGTTCCCTTGGAAATTTTAAAGTCTCTGTCTGGATTGCAGTCTCTTGTGTTGCCTGTCATGTCCTTGCCTTATTTTGCCCTGTCTGCTGTAAAAGTAACACCAGGAATCTTGTCAATTTTCCCGCCAGCCACTGCTAAACTTACAAGGGGATCTGCTGGATCTTCAAAAAATCTTCATGTGGACCACGGACGCGGTCCCTGTGGCAATAACAGGTTTGCCACTCTCTGGATGAGGGTGTAAAAAATGGCTCCTTTAGGGAGGTGGGTTAAGGCTTATATAAGGTAGGGGTAGAATTTGCTAGAAGAAAGGGAGGGACTAGGGCGGAGCATGCAAAGTGTAACTATATAAGGGAAAAAGGGGGTAGGGATTATCCTTTTTAGGGAAAGGGTGGCCATAAAAGGAAATACTGCAATGCAGCAAACTTTGGCCAATCAGGGAGTGGGGCCTAAGGATACAGAAATCAAGGGCATTTTTCATACAACAATTTCAGGGTACAAACAAGGGAAAAACTACAATAAATGTTTAGACGCAACTGTAAAACTCGAAACGCATTGGGTCTGAACTCCTTGACAATTTCATACTGGGGTTTCATCCTCTGGAGGGTCACACATTTCTTCTTGTTTTCTCCAGCTTTCATATTCAGCAATGTCCTCACTCCCGACAGACCAGGATCCCCTTTCCAGAGTAATGGAGGAGCACCGTGATTCTTTAATCAAAAATTACCGGATTTGAATGAAATGCTATAGAGAGGCTCTGGAAATCCTTCAGTGTTCACAGTGAGTCTATGGTTTCCCATCCCCCACTTCAGATGTAAAAACATGTTCCTTGCAGTTGGAATGTAAACTCATAAACTCTATTAAATGGATGTCAAGCACATTGCACTTACCTGTTGGTTTACTGATGCATAGCTGGTGTCTTGGCTTCTTATGCACTCACAATAAGAACCACATCCATTTTTTCTGCCGAGCAGATTGCTGATCTTGATTCTTGAGCATGAAAGAGCTCAAATCCTCGGAGCCATCATAGTGATTCAGCGAGAAAACAGAAGAAAGAAGTAGAGATCTCAAAAGTCAATTGGACAGGACAAAAAACACCCAGCAAGACAGACCTCTTCAAAAAGAATCCACCCAGGCAGAAGTGGAAATGTACAAAGAGCTCTATCTGGCGGAAGCGAAAACCAGAAAAAGCCTAGCCAAGAAACTGGAAAGGTAAGTCCATGCTCTTCTGGACTGGTAATAACAGACTCCTTTTTCCTCGTGCATTTTCCTTCTAAAATCCCTTTTTTACGTCTCGCCAGCATGATGTGTGAAAGCAGAACAGGGCATATTTGTGGGGAAAGTCCCTTAAGACCCTTCCCTTCATCAGACCTGTCTTCCTTTCTCTTTAAGAGTTCCAGTAGTAACACCACAGTAGCGCCATTATGGCATTATTGGTGTCTTTTTCGAGTTGATGTTGTTCTAGCAGGCAGTCTTTTTGCCAGTCTCTAATCTCCTCATCCTGTGTGGGACAGAAAAGATGAATCTTGTGCCCTTTACTGTTTGAATAAGGAGAGAAGCCTCTCGGAGAACAGAGTTGGATTCTGTGCACCAAAAATAAGAACGCTCTTTCTTGGCTTCTGTTTTGGCAGCGGGTCTGAGGTTTGAGCTTTCCTTGAGAAGGCCAGGGTAGGCCAGCGTTCTTATGGAGGTGACACTTGCTGCTCCTTGCACTTAGTGTGATTTCGTAGAAACAGGCCCTCTGAACGAGCCCAGATCAAAGGATGTGCTTGTTTTGGACGCTCTTAATGCCCTTGGCTTTTAGAAGTCGAGTAGTAGTCAAGGACGTGGAGGGTAACTTTGCAAAAGCCTTACTGCCAAAGATGACTCTCTGTGTGCTTCTGAATGTTTCAGAGCTGATGAGAGACTTGCAGAGGCCAACACCAAGTTCCTTTTGGAGCGCCATAGAAGCAAATCTGCAATCACAAGCAGCGCTGTCAGCGGACATCTGGCTGCAAGTCCACTTCTGTATTCAACTGGCGTGGGACATCTTGGGAACAGTTTGGGACTGAACAGAAGTCTGGGTCTCAGAACACCACCCAGACATCTGTGGTAAAGCCGAAGACTTTAGGTCATCTGTAGCAATCCGAAACTCGGATATCAGCACAAAAGGATTATGTAGCAGGCCATGGACAACAGGGGCTGAAAGAAATCCCACCACCTGAGGATCACATGCTTCTTCACAAGACCTGCTGATATTTAACTATGTTGATCGACCTGGCTCCTGCAGCAAGATATGGAAAGACTTTGTGATGATGATATCAGACTACTCCCTTTGTTCCTCTAGTTAGCATAATCCATCCCCAACTTAGCATAATCCATCCTCCTCATTAACATGTCCGGCCCCCGAGACCCTTAAATTGTGAGATGCGTGTTCAATAAAGATTCCAGTTTTCACCCCCAAACCTGGGATCGATTAGTTATTGACTTCCTACAGTCATCAGGTTTGTACAAATTTTCCAGAGCGGTCAAAAGCCAAAAAATATTGAAATCAAAGCAATGAACTGTGTAACTACATTCTTTTACAAGACAAACTGTGGTAAAGAGCACTGTGGGGCACGAACCCCGCACCTAAGTTCTACACTAAATTTACATGTATGGTATGTGTGACCTATTTCAAGTGGCTAATGTCACCATGAGTGCCAAATGCCAGCAGACATCTGTGAGACCCCTTTTTCTTCATCATTGATCTTTGTTCTAGCAGTTTCTTCACTGGACCTTGCTTTAATATGTTACTATGGATAGGAGGCATTTGTTCCTGTAGTTCCTGCTACGTCTTACTACATGAAACAGCAGAACTACCTACTCCTTGGGAAGTCTTCACGGCCTTCTAATTGTGCAGCAATGCTGCAACCTCTGCAATAGCACTGGTCCAAGTATGCCCTGTAATCAGCAGTCAGTGGGATAGCGCATCCCTTCCAGAATGCAGAGCATTATACCAGGAGACGGGGAAACCACACACCAGTAGTTGTAATCAGTGGGACAGCCACGTAGCATGGGACTGAGGCATGGCCAAGCTTCTCTGTTGAGTTAGCGTGTTTAGTTGTTGGATGAATGTGAGAAGCATTTGTTCACTTTGAAGTCCATCTCAGTTCACTGGTCCCCTCACCTCCATTGGAAAGAACCCATTTCAACAAGGTGTCTACATACAGCACCTGGTTGAAGACAAAAACACCAAGGAGATGAAAAGGGGCCAAGCAGCGTAGGTAATGCGTAGCAGCGGCAGTTACAGACAGGAACTTTTCTGTACCGCTGTGAACGCGTTTTTGAGGGCAGAGGCGTGGACAGGCATTACGGAAAGAACTCATGAGGTAATTAGTGCTGTACCATCTGCAGGGTTTATTCTGCAGGCAAGCACTAGAAAGGAAGCAAACTTCAGGGACCCAATGCAAAAGGGAGAAAAGAAGACCAGGAGGGGCAGGGAGCCCAGAACAGCCTTGAGCGTACTCTCAAGGAAGTTGATGAATAACTATGTATGACATTTCCCCCATTCTTCAATTAATGATGTAATTAAGTGCTCCCCTCTAGTGATCCAGCCTTTATTTTCAAGTTTCTGTCATAAGTAGGTTTTTGGGGTTTTTTTCTGCTAGCCTTTCAGTTGAGACTTGAATGTGAAAACTTCCTGCTTACCAAAATGTTGCGTACAATGTTATGCAGTTGCCTGGAAAAAGCCAAGCGCAAAGAAACCCTTGGCTTAAGCTGAAGTTGCCCTTCACTAGAGTTCATCTCAAGCACAAACAGCAAAGCAGCCAAGAGATAAGTATAAGCTTCAGCCATCACTTCCCGTCCCATGTACACCGATGGCATTCAGCACTAAACTGTACCATACCCGTTCTCTGCTGTTGGTTCTTCATTTTTGCTATGATTCTGTGATTCATGGCTTGTCTTGATAGCTTAGGTGGTGCAGTCTTTTTGGAATAAGCAAGAAGATCAGTAACAAAAGCTAACTTTTTTTTAGGAAAAGATTATTAAGTACTGTTCAGGCAAATATGAGTTCAATTTAGTTTGAAGATATCTTCAGGGGTCTAAGTTTAGCACAGGAGTCATTTGTGGATTGCCTGAAGGTGTTCAGTGTGTAGCCTCCAGAATGTCTTCCACTTGCTTTAGAAATGCTGTTGACGGATAAGCAATTGTGGAAAAAATGGGTTTCTTCCTTTGCACCTAGCCCTTCCGTTGTTATGTTCCCTTGGAAATTTTAAAGCCTCTGTCTGGATTGCAGTCTCTTGTGTTGCCTGTCATGTCCTTGCCTTATTTTGCCCTGTCTGCTGTAAAAGAAACACCAGGAATCTTGTCAGTTTTTTTCTGCAGCTACTGTTGAACTTGAAAGGGGATCTGCTGGATCTTCAAAAAATCTTCACGTGGACCAGGATCCCCTTTCCTAGAGTAATGGAGGAGCACCATGATTCTTCAACCAAAAATTACCGGAGTTGAATGAAATGCTATAGAGAGGCTCTGGAAATCATTCAGTGTTCACAGTGAGTCTATGGTTTCCCATCCCCCCGCTTCAGATGTGAAAACATGTTCCTTGCAGTCGGAATGTAAACTCATAAACTCTAATAAATGGATGTGTCCTAGTTAGAACAGCTGGGACCAGTTCATCACTGCATGGGTGTAACCCAAAACTGTGTATTCTATAGCCTTCCATGCCATTTCCCAGAAACTGTTATCAATAGACTATTTACACCCTCTGCCCAGAACAGCCTGACTCCTCAGGCTATAAACTAGTTGTTAAGAGGCCTGCGAGATAGGAGGGTGCCTCCTGTCCTCACCCCCTGTGATGGTTTCACTCTAGGCCTTCCTGGAGACCAGCTTGTAACCAGGAAGGAACTAGGAAAGTGATCACGGAAGTATTCCATGCTATTCCTTTACGTAACTTGAGTTATAAATAAAGCCAGCAGGAGGGACCTCGCTCTCTTCCTTTCCGGCGAGGTTCGAGAACGGTGGGCCCCTGTCTCGGTCTGGCTTATCTGGAGCTGAGGCCTACAGTGACTGCTGTTACCTGCCACGCGTGAGGGGAGAGCGCTGGGCCGTGTCTGGCCATCCTGCTTGTTCAAAGGGAAGTGGTGAGATTTTGCTAATTTACCGTCAGTTGGCTGGTTGACTTGCTCGGTCTTTGTCCCTTTTTGTCCTCCCTTCTCCCTCCCCCTCTTCCCTTTTTGGGGAACTGTTTGGGATTTCTGGAGTTGTGGTGTATAGTATTCTCATTGTATATATCTGTCTCATATGTAAAATATATATATATATATTTGCTATAGCTTTGGCTGCTTAAGTCATTTCTTTTCTCTTCCCTCTCTGGGAAGCAGGTCCTTGTTGTCGAGTTTCGGGGACTTGGTGGGAAGCCAGCTCGAAACTTGCACACCCCCTTTGTGGAACTCCCCACCCTGAGGGAAATACTGGGCATTCCTGCCTGAACTGGAGAATATATAATCTTGGAGTCTTGGAACTTTTGCAACCACTCACGGGATCCAGAGGAAGACTGCAGACCACCGCTCTCAACCAAACTGCAGACCACCACTCTCGACTGGACTGCAGACCACCACTCTCAACCGGACTGCAATCACCACTTTTCAACCACGCTGCAACCATCACTCTCGACCAGACTGCAATCACCACTCTTGACCAGACTGCAACAGCACTCTCACCAACAGGTTTTCCCCCCTCCTTTTACTTTGGACTCAGGGGGCCCAAAGAACACCACTCTGTTCATGCCCCAGGGTGCTGGGTTATACATTTGGGTTTTGTGGGTTAAAACCAATTGTTTGTCTGTATAATCGTACTTATTGTATTATTTTATTAAATTGTTATTCTGACTTATAATCTCTCTTTTGAGTTGAGTTCATTTCCTCTGCTGGTTTACCTTTAAACCAGCACAGGATGTCAAGCACATTGCACTTAACTGTTGGTTTATTGATGCATAGCTGGTTTCTTATGCACTCACAAAAAGAACCACATCCATTTTTTCTGCCTAGCAGATTGATTGATCTTGATTCTTGAGCTTTACAAAACTGTCTAAATTGTTTCTTAGTACAGTAGATGCATTAGCATTCCATTTGTTCAGCTAATTCATTTCACTCAATGTGTTTAGAGTGTTACCAATGTTATTGTAGTACTTAGGGATCTGTTCGAGACCTGAGGTAGAGAAGAACCACCATTTCTAGGTCCCGCTGGGAAGCAGCCAGCTATGGAAGTCCACCTAACCAGTCCTCATCACCTCAAAAGCATGAAGACAGGCCTTACTAATTTGACAAGTTACCGTCTACACATACACCAAAGTAGGCTTGGCAAAAGCATTAATTAAAATATTAAATTAATGTTCTACCTCTTCTCCAGGCGAACCCCTTCACAGTTATGTGTATTAGTGAATGTATGGGCTGCAAAACTCAAATGCCCTTTGGAAGACAACAATTTTAATCAAACAGTAAATTGCACCTGTTCTTCACATGATTGAGAATGAGAGCTCTGCTAAGGAGCAACAGTACTGTAAACTCACAATAAATCCATTTGACATAAGAAGCAGCAATGAGATCTGTGACAATGTGTAAGCTGATGAAATGTGGCTGCTTAGTACTTTGGTCAAAGACTGCAATACCTGTGCAAATCCCCTGCATTTGTATTTTGTTTTAGCATTGTTTTCTTTTTGTCTGATGCTGGTTTGATTTTAAATATCGAGTACACAAAATTATTTCAGAAAGTCTCAGCCTCTCAAGAAATTGAAACTAGTTTCAACTTGGAAAAAAGCTAATGATCTGTATGTGAGGGTCACATAAAAACCATTTACCAACTGGAGCTTTCAGGGCACTTTACTAGGAACAATCATGGTTCTCTCCCTCAATACCAAGTGAAAATGATGTCTAAACCTGTTCCAAACTCAAATTTATCAACATCTGAAACACAGATGGCACAAAGTGTAAGCACAACAAAACATTTCAGCAGACAACAAAGTGAGTAATATATACAATGTTAACTTTCTGCCTACTCTGTTATTTGTATAGTTGTCTACTGCTGGAATGATGACGGCTCCCATACTTCTCCATCAGAATTTTTCTCACAAGTTATCCATGCTCATGAAACCCTCTGGGCAGGGATATGATATGTGCACTGTAGACTCAGAATAACCCATCTCTGACATCTGCTGTATGGATGCACCAAACCCAACCATAGCTCTGACCCTACAATGCATTTTAGCTCAAATAGTTTCATTATCATAACTGGAATCACAGATACATTTCCTTCTGAAGAAGTATGTACAGTCTTCATGCAATTGCATTCTGAACATTTAGCACTTTTCAGGATGAGCAACAGACTGGAAAGAAAAATTAGTGCTGCCATCATTGCTGCCATAAATAAAACTTTCTAATTGATTGATTGGCATTGTTTTGCCTTAATTTAGCCCAAGGACGTATCCCAAATACATCTACCTCAGAGCACCCAGTCCGAGACTGCCCTCTTGAGACCTGAAATTTTGTGGCTATCCCAGAGCAGGCAGCTCAGGACTGCTGTCTCGGGACCCAACAGCACTGCTCAGCAATAACAAAAACATTTCTGTTTGATGGTAATACATCACTGTGTTCAGCACAAACCCAAAACACAGCCCCATACCAGCTACTGTGAAGAAAATTAATTCTATCCGAGCCAAAACCAGCACAATAACATATTGATATTTTGGCTGTTGCTGAGCAGCACTTACCAAAAGTCAGGGACTTTTGAGTGTCTTATGCCATGCCAAGAGAGGAGCTGCACAAAAAGCTGGGAGGAAGCGTAGCTGGGACAGCTGACCCAAACTGGTCAAAGGGATATTCCACAACATAGAAATAGAAACTGGGGGAAGTTAGACAGGATGGGCATCAACCAGTGGGTGGTGAGCAATTGTATTGTACATCACTTGTTTCTCTTGGGTTTTATTTTTCCTTTCTGTCTTTTTAAAATTACAATTCTTCTTACTATTTCTTGTTTTGTTTCAATTCTTAAACTGCTCTGATCTGAACCCAAGAGTTAGGGTTTTTTATTAATTCTTTAAATTCTCCTCCCAATCCCACTGTGGGCAAGTGAGGTGCAGGGGGTAGTGATCAAGCAGCTGTGGTACCTCGGTGTCTGGGGTTAGACCACCATGTTTGGAAATTGAAATCAATTTTCAATGCATCACAGTCCTACTTTTAGCAGACATTTATTGCTTTCTTATGGTTTATAATTTCTAAGTAGTTTAATTAAAAGAAGGAAGACAAAAGTTTTATTTTGCATTTTTGTCAATTAAGATGTAACCAAACCTAACAAATCCAATTACGGCCTACCTGGCTCCACAATAACACACTGAGTTAATTTTATGATAGCTGTATATTGGTTGCCCAAAAAACGTGAGTCAGTGCATCTCTGCCATTCTGAATATGCTAATAAGTCCCTTCTTTTACACAATAACTCTTTTACTGTATTGAAAAGAAAAGAACATTTCTTGTTCATCAGTTAGAGGATGTCAAAAGAAATCCCTTCCACATTCTGAGCAGAAAGCTAGCTGTTAATCCTACCATGTGCATGTGTGCATGGGATATGGTGTGCCACCACTTGACTCAGCACTGACTGTAAAAGGCTTCAGAGGTGGCACACCAGAAACAGTCCCACAGTTGCAGCTCTCAGAGCAAAAGTTGTTGAAGTCACAGTCTGCAGCTGCATGTAACTATTCAGTCCTCTTCAAAGCCTCAGAGTTGGCAATGTCAAGAAGTGCAATCTTCCCAGACAGCTTTTCTGAGTTGTACCACCCCTTCTATAAATACAGCAGTTACAAAGCAGGTCTACTAAATCAGGTAATTAACACATGGTTATCACCCCAACAAGTCTTTACTGACACTTTTCCTTCCTGGTAAATAAAATATACTGGGTGATCTAATAGGGGGGAAAACAGATATTGGAAAAGGGGAATTTTAGACTGCCATTTTGTACCTCAGCCGTACAAAGATTGTGAGCTAAATTATCCAGCTACGGTGAATGACACTGAAGGAAAGGTGTACCTTCAGCAGACTAACCCAAATACCAAGGCTTATGCAACACTTAAGCCACACTTAAGCCCTATTTGGAAATCTTCCTGTGGTATACAGACTATCAGAGCATAAATGAAATATTTAATGCAGACAGGAAAAGAAACAGCAGTTACTAGATGATACTGAGAAAGCTACAGATAAGCTGCACAGAGCACACTGAACAGACAAAGCAACAGAATAGGAAATATCAACGCTTAAAAAAAGACAACAAAAAATCTAAAAGGCACTGTAAAAATAAAGTTAAAAATAGGAATGGATTAAAACTAAAACCAAACACTTGGATATCTTCAACAGCATCATGACCCAACAAGATTAAAGAAATCGTATGAACAAAGATCTATACAAACAACTGACAACTGGTTTAGTGATTGAATCTATTATTTATTTTGCAACTTTTTTTGGCTAATAATGAATGAACAGTTCCTGTTGTGCCTATATGACTCTTCGGCCTTATCAGCACTCCCTTATCTTAAAAGCGTGAAATCAAATTTTAGCCTAATCAGTTATCAAAGTTACTACCAACTAAATCTGATTCTAATCACAGGGGGGGTTACTGATACCATTCTGAAACATTTGACGTGGACTGTAGGGTCTCCTGGTCTTAGGCTGGGGAGTGACCTGTAAAACCAAAACTATTTGTGAACAAGCATGCGTCCACTTGAAAAAGGACTTGAGATGCAATACTTCCTTCTGAGAAGAGCATAGAGATGTCTTGTGTTTACTCCATGCTGCCATCTCGTAAATAAAAACTTGCCTTTCTTCTAAGACGTCTGGAAGAAAACAAATATATCCAGATTAAAAATGTATTTTGCTCTTCTTTTCTCCATTAAATGGTCAGCCTGATTACAGAGATACTCTCAAAATGGTTACTACTAGTAACTTCCCAATACTACTAGATTTTAGGTTTTTGAATCTACTTAGCTGTCATTTCAGCAAAAGGGTATTTTTCCATCTATTTATTGTGTATTATTAATTTAGCTCTTCTTTCTAGAGATCAGGTGTGAAAAAACAGAACACTGTTAATAGACTAATCAACTAAAGAAAGTGACCGTACATCAGTTACTGTGGTGTAAGAGAACACTGCCAGTAGCAAACACATTTGATAAAGCTGTGAAGACTCATTCTGCAAAGGAAAATGAAGGTTTTGATATCTGTACCATTATTAGTGATAAAGGAGAAAAAAATATTTCGAAGGGCTGAAGTGTCTCTCTAAAAAGTGGCACTGTCACACTGCAATATTCTCACTGCTAATCATAGTGAAATATGTTCCTTTGTTTGAATTAGGGTTTTTTGCCATCTCTCTTTTTTTTCAGAAATTCATATGAAAGCAGCAGTTCCTAAAGATAGCAGAGTGTTCTGGCAAGGTGTTCCATTAGCCAAATACGCTAGGTTCCTGTACCTTGGCATCACCCCCAAATCATATGGCATCTGCACTACCTAGGGGAATGACTGTACCAGTACCATATTGAGAATGATTCCCAACTTATCAACACAAAATATTTTGCTTTCTGTACCACCTTTTCATACAGATAGTGAGTGCGCACGCTTGTAGACTCCCATGTCGGTGCCGACAACCACATTTACTGGAAAGTAAGTTCTTTGTCTGTCATGGGTATTAAGGTAAATTCCCGGTATGATCATTCACAACTACCTGACAGTCACACTCCCAAGGCCAGAGGCTTTCACTGCTGGGATCGGAGCCCCTTCGCGGTGGGCGGCTCCAGTGTCTCGACGGGTGCCCCGCTTGACACCCATCCCTACAGACCCCCCTCTCACACAGTCCGACCAGGTTTCCTTACCGGTTCGACCCCAGGTTGTCCATAGCAAAGTCTCAGATGTCTCGTTCCACAAAGCCATTTATTCCTCTGCAGTAACACAGAAACAGCTCGAGCTGGTACCTCCGAGTAGGATACTCGCACAAGGGACCCCTGGGTCTTTATCCCCTCACAGTCTCCCCGCGCACACATCTCGGCTCCTGCACTCCTCTCCCTGTCCATCCACCTCGCCGGTGTCACTGGTCTTCATCTCCTTTGATATCCGACAGGTCGGCAATTCCCTGATCCTGCTGGGTCTCGCCGTGTCCATTCACCTGGCTGACGTCACCCCTCGTCGTGCCCTTTCTTATCCCGAAGGTTGGCAGTTCACGGCCCCTTGTCTCGGGCTCCCACCCAGAGCTCCATCTTCATTTCAATCTGCGGCTTGCGAGTCCAGCTACAGGGACCAGACTTACTCAACAATGGGTAAGGGACGTAGCGGGATGATGTCTGAAGTCCCCCTCCATCCCATTTCCTCCTGTATTAAGCCTTGCTGTTTGTTCCTTTGTCCCCCATTCACCCAATCCCAGCAGCAGCCCTCAAGGAGCACTAAAGACACCGGGACACGCATTTCACGGAATAACCACTTTGTCCCTTAATTCACCGCCTCCCGCGGCCGCGCCTGCGCGAGCCCTCCCGCCGCCACCGGACCGCGCCTGCGCCGGGCTCGCAGGGCGGGGGGTTCCGCGGGCAGCGAGCTGTGCCCTGTCCCTGCACCTTTTGCTGCTCTTGGCCCTGCCCCTGCTCCAGCTCTGCCCTGCCCCGCCCCTCTCGGCTCGTTCGCTCCGCAGCAGCCGCACCGAGTCGAGGCCGCTGTCGGGAGTTCTCCTCCCTTCCTCTCCCCTGTCCCTGCTCGGGGCCCGACACAGCCCGCCGGGTGCTTCCCTCGTCCCTGTCGCAAGATGAAGAGGATCTTCGGGTTCGGAAGGAAGAGGAAAGGACAGCCGCCGCCCGGCAGCGCCTCCCTGCCCTGCCCCGCCGGTGCCTACGAGCTCCGGCAGAAGGATCTGGGCAAGCTGCACCGTGCGGCCGCCAGCGGCGACCTGGCCCAGGTGCGGCAGGGACTGAGGAAATACGGCATCGACGGGCGGGACAAGGCGGAGCGGTAAGCGCGGGAGCCGCGGGGGTGGGCCGGGAGCCCCAGGTGCACCTACAGCAGCCCCCGGGAGCTCCCCGGCGCAGCGCCCTGGGAGGAACGGGAGGGCGGGCGCCGCAGCCGAGCGCAGCCCTCGGCTGGCTGTGGGAATCGGGCTTGTGTTGTCAGAAACCCTGTGAATTCGGCCGAGTTGGGAAGGACTTGTAATGCAGAATAAACATGATATTTATTGACGCTGCGTGCACAGTTGCCTTTTGTGACTGTGATGTGGCAGCCAAAGCCAGTCTGATTTTAGGTGGCAGTTAATTAGTTGTTTGCACTGAGGCTTTGGCTCAGCTAATCAGTACCTTGGATTGGAAGATCTGGTCAGTGACTTGCAGGAAAAGCTGCTGCTTCTGACAGTGCTGTTGTGTGAGTTTTTGAGTCACACACAGCAAGTATTTGGCAATTCTGTCTTCAGGAGAAGCCCTGGGCTGCAGCATAGTTCCTAATGATCTAACATAAGGGAATTGGCTGAAGTTTTGGAGTCTTGTATGTTACGACCCTTTAATACCTTTTCTAAAAAGGCTCGAAGTAAAAAGTTTTGTGATATTCTGAAGAGATGCTGGTTTTGGCAGGGTAGCTCAGCTTCTTAGGCTGCCTGTCCTGAAGGCTGGACTTGTGGTGACCAGCTCACTTATTGCCCTAAAAACACCTAGATTTGTAGAAGCAGGAAAGAGCATGGTAAATATCCACTTTGCTAATGTGGATTATGTGCCTGAGTGTTGGCAATTAGTATTTGTTTATGCAGTTAGAGATGGGAGATGCAGTTTAAGGCGAATTGAGTGCATTTTGTGACTCCATTTGCTTGAGTCAGGGTGCCCAATGGCATTTATGGAAATAGTCATCGGGTCTTAGCAGGCTCTAATCTGAAATTTGGCTACTTTGTGTGTAAGTTCATTCTCTAGACAGCTTTGTTTCTTCTAGAAAGGTTTCCTTCCGTGTGTCAAGCTATTATCAGTGTTATAGCTGGGGAAATAAAGTAGCATGCTGTAAAAAAACCAAAACCAAACCCCAAACAAATTTCACAAGAGGCAAGGCAGTAGAGCACTGCAATGATTTTGGCATGACAATGCTCAGTGCTGAAAAGCTTACCTGAGAGGAATTCAGTGGACAGAGCATGCGTGTTTGGTGCAGCCCCTGTACATTTGGGTTACAGGCCCACCTACTCCCTCTTAGTGTTTGTGGGTGTGATGTGTGGTGTGAACGATCATGAGATGCAATTGAGTTTCAGAGCTTCATCACATCCTCCAGGGACTCAAAGGCATGATTGGAAATAGAAGTGAAGAATAGGAAACCTGTGAAGCAATGACTGAAATTGTGTATTATTTCAGACTGAAATGCTGAAATGTGCATTGTTCATATGAATATCTCAGTTCTGCTCCTCGGGATTTCCAAAAGCAAAATCCTACACAAGGGACATGGCAAGTCTCATGCCTACAGGCTCCTTCCATAAAGTGGGTCTTGTAGCCCGTAGGACCTCCAAAAAAATGTGTTTGGAACAGCATGAAGTAGGAGCAGGCAGACTTTTCAGAGGTGGTCCAGCAAAGCCTTCAGCCCTGCTGAAAAAGATAGGCAAAACTCGGCACAGAGTTTGAAGCACTGCAGGCATGATGCTGGCGAGTCATGAATCCTGGGTCAGACTAATCCCTGCGAGATTTACTCTGTCAGCTGCCTGTCAAAGTGAACTCTAGAGCTTAGCATTGCATATCTTGTAGCTGCTGGGTTGTTGGCTCGGGTGCCTTTGAAAGTGTGTGGCATCAGTTTGCTATCCCCCTGTGGCCTCCTGGTTGAGTTGTTTTGTGGCTGCTCAGACATCAGTAGGTCTCTTCTACCCCATGGGTGATCAATGTATGACTGCAGGAGCATCAGAAGCTGAGTCTGAGCAGGATCCCCAGGGGGGTGGCAGAACAGCTTTGGTGTTACTGAAGGTCTCTTGTGGAGACAACTGTGAACACTCTGATGTTCTCCCAGCCTGTTCCCTGAAGTGGATCTTCTGTGGAGCTCAGCAGGACTTGCTCCAAGCAGAGCCATCTCTTTCCACTTGGCAGGCTTAGAGGCTTGGTTGGGAGGGCAGCAATGAGCCCACAGGTTTTCTGCAGACTTTCCTGTTTTCAGAGCTGTTAGGGACTTAAGGTTTGTCCTGTTTCCTAGTGCTTGGTAGCAGCAGCTTTTAGATGATCGTGGACTCCTTCTCTAGAAGTTCTGTTTAGCTTTCAAGTAATCTCAGTCAGCCATTTCTACAGAGATTAAGGATCCTGCATACTTGCAAGGGAATTTTTCAAAAATTGGTGGTAGTTGCTCTTAGGAGCTCTTCGTTGATGCTTCAGTTTCTTCCGTCTGTAACAAGATATCACAAGTCTTGTGTGTTTTTCTTGTCCTCATGCTCTTTGCTATGGAGGGGGCCCATCAGCTGCCCTCTAACAAGGAGTATCTGCCTTACAAATCACTGAGTTCCTGTGTCACCTGCTACTTAATTCGTGTACCTCCCCCTCTCTGTTCCCACCCAGCCAGGGAGGTGATGTTCCTCTGTCTCTCAGCAAGATACTAAAACATTTGAGAGGTTAGTTGAGCTTCCAAAACCACAGAGGACTACCTGCAGCAGTGCGGTTAAAAATTAGTGCAGAGTGAAACTTGTGGTCATATCCATTTATCAAAGCCTGAAATTATGCCTGTCTGTGCTAATTTAATTTATTTAATTTTTAGGACACCTCTGCATCTCGCTTGTGCAAGCGGCCATGTGGATGTAGTTACACACCTAGTAGAAAACCAGTGTAAGCTAAATCTTTTTGACAATGATAACAAATCGCCACTGATGAAGGTATGTGGACTGTATTATGTTCTTGTAAGTGAGGCTTATTGATTATGCCCTAAATTATGTATTTTGCAGGATTCTTTATTTAGACCTGTGTAGAAAAATGCATATTGTGATTGATGTGGAAGGGCATATGTTAGCTAATCTTTGAAGGTGCTCTTATTTCCCAGTATTGGGAAGCTGGGAGAATTGTAACAGAGTGAAAGGTAAGTGTTGGAAGTTTTTCCTTTTTTGTGTTTTGTTCCCAGGCAGTACAGTGCCAGCAAGAAAAATGTGTGGCTATTCTACTAGAGCATGGTGCTGACCCAAATCTGGCAGATGCTGACGGCAACACTGCCCTTCACCTGGCTGTCCTATCTCCTAATACCACTGTAGCAGGGCTGTTACTTGAGCATAATGCCAATATTAATGCTCAAAATAAGGTAAGGTTTTTTTATTTGTTGAAGAAGTTCTTTCAAAAAGTTGCATTCGTATTTTTCTTGAAGATTTTTTTTACTTTTATTTTTAACGGTATCTGCCCTTTTAGGAGGGATATACCCCACTTATTCTTGCTGTCTCTGAACATCATGAAGAGATAATGGAATTTCTTCTTAAAAAAGGAGCTAATGTGCATGCTCGAGATCGGTGTGAAAGGTGAGGGGTTTTCAAAACTCTACATGGGTCTCTTTAGTGTTCTTTAGGTTGGATTGATGAGAGGCATGGGAATGAGCTCTAAAAAAAACCCAGGTAGCCACAGAGAAGCTTTTATTTCTGCGTGACTTGTGGAAGTGGGTCATACCTCAGTGGCTTGCTGTCATTCCTCGGTGGATGTTTTCTGCAAGATGGCGTTGTCTGTGATGGCCTTTCTGGCAGGAAACCTGCCATTAGCTAAGCAGCATTGCCTCAATTTGAAAAACCGTCTCTTGCATAGCAGCAGAGTTTGTAATTGTTGTCTATGTGGAAACTTTGTTTGAAGATCAAACATTTGTTTTGACTTCTCCCATTTTATTGTTTCTCATAATACCTAATGAAAAATGCTTTATCTTTTATTAATTTTAAAGTAATGGGGAGAATACTTTTTTGAGGGCAAACAGGAATAAAAATAATTACACTTTCTGTGTAAAACGATCTACTTCATATCATATTTTTGATGTTTCAGAACCCCACTTATGACTGCTGCTTCTGGGGGAGAGGTTAATTTGATAAAAGTTCTTCTTCAGTATGGTGCTGATCTTTCCCACAAAGACACTAATGGATGGACAGCTGAGGATTATGCTGTTATTCATGGATATTCTAGGTAAATTTTAAACTTTGTTGTTAGAGTAAATTGTCAGTTATCAGTGTGGCTTTTGATCATTTTTGATAAGAGCGCCAAGGCTTAATGGTATGTTGAGACCTGTATTGAAGCTGTGTTCAGTGGTGTCTTCATAGAATCATTTAGGTTGGAAAAGGCCTCTAAGATGATAATCAAGTGAAGACATCAACCTAACACTGCCAAGCCCATCATTAAATCATGTCCCTAAGTACCACATCTACAACATCTTTTAAATACCTGCAAGGCTGGTGACTCAACACCTTCCCTGGGCAGTCTGTTCCAATGCCTGACAACCCTTTCATTGAAGTAATTTTTTCTAATACCCAATCTAAACTTCCCTTGGCCCAACTTGAGACCATT